TTGGTCTTGCAGTGGTGGGATTTCTTTGATTGTTCCCCCCTGCCTTGATGAGCCTCGAAGGTTCCTTTATACTAGGCTCTACATAAAAGATGGCTGCAAGAAGTCTTCCAGATCAAGGGAAGGATTAACCTCTCCGTAAGTGGTTCTTTCAAGAGAGCCCTGTTCTCCTCTTAGCCACACATTCTCTGGGCCGCGTTCTGTTTGCTTGGTTCTCCAACACGGCCAAGGTCATCCGAATCAAGTAGAATATTAACTTGCATTCCAAACAAAGACAGAGGTTTCACTCCCTGGCGGGGTGGATTCCCTTCCTGCGGGGCCTCCACGTGGGAATTTATTAGGCCCATGACCTGAAAGCTCAGAAAGTTCGATTGAATGGGTAGACATTTCTCTACTTCTGCTTCTGCCATGAGACCTCACAGAATTATTCCTCCACCGAGGTTAAACAGACCACCTGCCCAACAGACCAATGCTTTCATCAGCCAACACATCTCACCACAACAGTGGATGTGGCTCAAATACCTGGGAGGAGTCACTCTGGACTGTGCCCTGACCTACAAGAAGCACTACCTGAACATCAACCAAAAAGTGGGTGCTAGAAACAATATCATACGAAAGCGGACTGGCACAACCTGGGGGTCACAACCAGACACAGTGAAGGCATCCGCCCTTGCACTATGCTACTCTGCTGCTGTGTACGCATGCCCAGTGTGGAACACATCTCACCACGCTAAAACAGTAGAAGTGGCTCTTAATGAGACATGCCGCATTAACACAGGGTGTCTGCACCCGACACCACTGGAGAAATTACACTGCTTAGCTGGTATCGCACCACCTGACATCCGCCGGGAAGGAGCAGCCAATAGTGAAAGGACCAAGGCAGAGACATCTCCAGCTCAACATCTAAACAAATTCAACATCTACACAAATGACCAGCCACTGCAGGAGGGACAGAGAGTTTCATCTATGCTGATGATCGTGCCATTACTACTCAAGCAGGGAGCTTTGAGGAGGGGCCACAAAGTGGAATCCACGACATGCAAGTGTGGAGAGGAGCAAACCGCTGACCACCTGCTGCAATGCAACCTGAGCCCTGCCACATGCACCATGGAGGACCTTCTTGTGGCAACACCAGAGGCACTCCAAGGGGCTAGATACTGGTCAAAGGACATTTAATCAACAAAGGAGGACCACCTCACCCGCCTCATAGGAAACCTGCTACAAAACAGGAGCT